TGGCAGTGATCTCCAACACGCTGGATGGGCGGAGGAGCACCGAGACATAGCTAGCGGGAAGTTTTACTGCCAATCAGGCATCTCCATTAGCGGGGTATCGCCCTGCCGGGACAAGCTCAAAACCCGAGGCGATCTGCCCGGCATTGTTGTAGTGTAGAGCATGTTGGTGTGTGATGTAAATAAGTGGAGAGAATCGGACGAGGAGAGGAAGGAAAGATGCGCGCGCGACCCTTTGCCCCTCGGTCAGGGTACTGTCGTCAAATCGGCCTTGGTGTTGATCGAAGCAAAGTAAGGAAAATTAACGTTAAGGTTCTCCGAGAGTGTAGTGATATATTTTTTCTCGGGAGGTGGCAGTGATCTTCACACGCTGGATGGTGAGGAGCACCGAGACATAGGCTAGCGGAGTTTTCTCTCCAACAGGTATCTCCCATTAGCGGGGTTATCGGCCGCCTGCCGGGACAAGCTTCAACACACCCGAGGATCTCCGGGCGTATGTGTGGTAGTTGTAAGAGCATGTTTGGTGTGTGAGTAATAAGTGGAGAGTTGAGGAAGGAAAGATACGCGCGCGGACGCTTTGCCCGCTTTTCTAGGGTACTGTTCCGTGCATCGACTTTTGTGTTGATCGAAGAAAAAAAGAAAATTAACGTTTAAGAGCAGCCGGCTGCTAGGTTTCTGCTCCAGCAGCACTTCAATTCGGCTACTGAATCTAAGCGAATGAATTTAGTTTTATATTATAATTTTTGTGCGAAAATCCTCACCAACGGTCGGACTAGAACCACTACGGTCTTCCAGTCAGGAGCACTGCAGTGCATCAATTGATGCCCTGACCCATCTAAGACGGTAAAGCGATGCGAGATGCAATGAATCCTGTATCAAATCGACCACTATTGATCCGGTAAAAAAGCGATATTTTAGTTAGCTACAAGAATGGTGCAGGGGATAACGTGCCCTGCAATTGTCTATCCCAGTGTATGTAGGAGTTGAAAAGCGTCGTGATGGGAACAGACCACCACTGGCACAGTGTGAAGGAAAGCTTGTATTTGAAGCATCCTTGTGCAAGACTACAAGAGTTTTTTGTGCATGCTCTAACACTTCACGTTACAGAACAACTATATCAGAAAAGTATAGACAAACCAAAATTATTGTGTTTATTCATAATGCTGCTAGACAACTTTAAGTCTAACAAACAAATCAAGAGGAACATAAATTACGGATTAAGTTAAAAAGCGCTTTGCGTCACTATTCAGTGCTACTTCCATTGTAATAGCTTTCGTCGGACGCGCAAAAAGCTTTGAACCCTGACACTATAAGGTTGATAACGCAGCGTATTGGCTTTTTCCATTCGTTTTATTGATGTTTCACGCTTGAATGCAATGCGTCAGAGCTAGAAAAATGAGTCAGCCGCAAGTATTGATTCAGAGGCCAGAAGTGTGAATTCAGGGCGAGAAAGGAATTACAAACGAAAAAGGTAAGTTAAGGTAAGGGCGATGAGTGGGCTAGAAGGATGAGTAAGAGCAAAGCATGGAAGTTGGGGAAAAAAGTGCTTCAACGTCAAGGGTCAATACCAAGATTGAAAGCCCACACTTGTAGGAGGGTTCACACAAAGAAAGGAAGGTTTGAGAGCAGAAGAAAATCCGCAAATCAAGAAGCAAAGAAGCTCACAGCAGTAGGAAGATTCACACGGCCAGTAGGAAGATTCACACCAATGGGAAGATTCATACCAGTAGGTAGATTCATATCGAGAAAGAAATAAAGAAGCGAACCATTCGGTACCATACCACCAGCAGGGCGGCGTCGCCCAGGCCGGGCCACTCCATCTTGAGCGAGACGAGCGCCGCCTTGAGGTGCGTGAACATGTAGATCGGCGTCGCTGTCGCTCAGCTTGCCGAAGCCCTCGCGCGGCGGCCGCTTCGCCACCTCAGCTCCTGCAGCCCCTTGCAAGTTGAGCGCCAGGTCATCAGGTTCCTGCACCTTCAGGAAGCGGTTGGCCGCCCGCACGTTCAAGCTCTTTAGCTGCGCACAGGTGGATGATTCTCCTGGTAGAACTATGCGACCAAACCACCGATAGCAGCCCCCCCACGAAACATTGGCAAAATATCAATATTATGTAGGGATAAAAGAGACTATAAAAGTGTAAACTAAAAATTAAACTCTTTTTGCCTCCCTGCAGGGGGCTGGTCTCTTCTCCCCGCCTGGTATTACATTCACTCTCTGCAATCTCTAGGGTCTTTGGGAGGAGCATCCTTCTGTCCCCCTCACCATTTTTCCTCTCTATAGTTCTCCGTGCCGGGAACACTACTGTCGATAAACCGCGCTGAGATACGTCCACAGCCCTTCTCAGCTAGTACTTTGGTTATAGCGTACGCGCCACTGAGAATCCGTAGATCCTTAGCGGAATGGTTGTTTAACGGAGGGCACGGAATGCTTGGATGGAGCGTCCGGTGGATGAAATTTTGGCAGGGGAAACGGGAGCACCCGCGAAAACCTCGCCGCGAACGCCGTCTTTTGTCCACCAGCAAATTATACTTTCTCGCTCTCTCTACGCTTAGTTTCATAGGTTATTTACTAGGCGCCGCCTGATCCGTAGATCCGCTAGCGGAATGGTGGTTAAATTAACAGGATAGGGTAGGGAATATATTCAATTGTGCGATCTGGTGGAATGCATATTTGTCAAGGGGAAGGGAAGTAACCCCCGAGACCACCTGCCGGCGAACCGCGCTTTGTCCACCATTACTTGGAACCGCCTGGGATCGAAACCCGACACCAGCCGGTGGAAGGCGTGCCTGTGCTGACTACTGCGCCACGGGCTTGCCGCTCTATAAAATGTTTAGAGTCCCAAAACTGATGTTTGAATATTATTATTCTCCTATCAACTGCAAACTGCAGAAAAAATGTGTCGATTTTCTACATAGATCCGAACACCTGTGAGATTGTTGTGACCCTTGACAATGAAAAAATTGATGTTTTAATTCTCCACAAAAATTCTTCAAACAGAAAGAATGCTGTTTTAATGCCTCGCTTTACACTAAACGTATTAACAGCAAACAGGAGTTCGACCAAAAAAGGATATTTTTCAATCGGTGTTGGATGATGTTGGGGGAATTTAAAACGATGTTGGGTCGAATTTGAAACGACATATTTCTCTTTTTAGAAGTACATTATGGGAAAGCTTAAGGTGCTTTTAAAATTTATGCAAGATGATCCAACTTTTTCTTTCAATTTTTCCTTCAATAGAGCAAAAACCGTTCATAAAAATTTCTCAGGTTCATGTGCAGAAAAACAAAAGTCGTAAATTTTGAAAATTCTAAAAAGATAAATTGTGTTGTACTCTCTCTGCCCTCTCTGGTGATGACAGAAGTCAGAGATCAAGCGATATTATGTTCGTATTACGCCATAGCTAGTATCCAGCCATCAGCTCCAGGATGAAAAGATTCGTTTTGAAACGCGATCACTGGCGCCCGGTATCAGCAACGTCCCGTAACGGCAGATGACGAGAGTGTTGGCATTGGCAGGGATTTCAGCTTTGGATCTTCAAAATCAAATTTCACCATAAATTTAGTTTTAAAACATCTGCGTTAGCAGCAAATTTTAGCAGTTAGATTTTCAGTACATTCATTTATTTTCAGCATATGCGGTACTTTCCTAAAAATGTTTAACGAAGTCAACGATAGTGACTTAATAATTGACCATGGGCCTTTCGTACGTATGATTTATTAGGTTAACAATATTGTATGCTTTTTTAAATTATAATTTATTATCATTATTTATTTATTATTATTTTACCAATTATTATTATACACCAAACTGGAATATTGAAATTTCTGCTGAAAGAATGGCTGACATTTTGCGGTAATAGTCAAGAAGCTCGAATTGCAACTTAATTATTATTACGATTGGCTGATAAAAATTGCACAGACATAACCAGTTTTTCACGCCGATTCGGCGCTGACCCATTCGGCGTCACTCAAAAATATTACTTCTCACTTCCCGCACTCCTATGTTCCACACTCAATATTCAATCTCTGCCAAAACGCACATTATTAAAGCACGCATTACATCGCAATTCCCCAAAGATGTTTTGCCCACCCTAATTCATAAATTATTTGGTCCGCTTTTCCCCACAAACCTTCCCTTCACGTTCTTAAACCGCAAATGCCTTTTCTAGTTAAGGCAGACTCAAATTTATTAAATTTTAAAAATAGTGAAGGGTTATTCCGAGACTCGCATTTGCTGAGGCTGGCCTGAGGACGGCAAGTAGAGTCATTGTATGTAACCCTGTACCCGTTTAAAATCCCCGAAAGACAAAAGTCGAACGGGAAGCAAAAAAATAAACAAAATAAAAAATAATAAAAAGAATACGTAATGGGCTGGTCGTGCTCAAGTGAAGGACCGGTTTTATAACGGGAGGCCCCCACCGCAGAGTGGGAAATTCGATCATTAGCCTCCCGTAAGCGAGTCTCACGAGGGTAGACATGTTTCTCCCCCCTCCGCTCCTCGGCGCCCCCCCCCCCCGAGAAACATATATCACTACACTCACGAGACTTACAACCTCGAAAGTCGGTGCGCCTGCACACATTAATCAACCGAACCGAATCGCCTGGACGCCTCGTGCGTCAGCGCGTGCTCTTTGATTCGGTTTGTTCCACTGCCAACTTCATGATGTGGCGGGGTGCGTGCCTCAGTCCATCCTGAAGTGCACGCAGCTGCGGAAGCTGGGCCTGCTCAACGCCAGGGACTTCTCGGGCGAGCGCATGCGCCTGCTGGAAGAGAACCTGCAGAAGCTCGTCTCCCTCAAGCTGACGTACCCGTGCCAGATGAAGCAGTCGCACTTCCGCTACCTCTTCAGCGGGCAGACCTCCAACCTGCACAACCTCGTCAAGCTCTCCCTGATCGCGTGCTGGGGGCTAGAGGACGCCGGCCTGCAGGTAGTAGAGTTATCTTGTTTTGTTGTCGGCTGTATGTGGAATGTATAGTATTGGACTAGGTCCAAAAGTTTGAGGGTGATATTTTGAAGATTAGAGGTTAACGAATTAAGTATGACATCATTATAGAAGGTTGTAGAATTTGATGTTCAAATGAATATTGTATTAGAGATGTTACGATAAGAAGACCTTATAAAACATTTTATTCGCTTTGTAAAACATTTCACTGTACTATAAATGTGGGCAAAAACATAGTAACCCACAATTTACAAATGAAAAGAATAGTTATGAATAGTGCCTGAGAAATGTCGGATGCTTCGAAAGTTTTGGTCTTGGGATATGTTTTCTCGAGAATGAAGCGTAGTGATTCTTTAAGAAAGTTTTAAACAAAATTACATTTTTGCTTTGTTTATTATTGATAGTAACGTCGCTGTGGTTGCAAAACTAGCATCATGTGGGTTACAATGTTCTTGCCTACAACCCTTCCATTCACCCTGACAAAGGTGACACTGATATAGTTATTTTACAAAAGACTACGGATTACTAAGACAGTGATATACTAATTATTATTAAGAAACAAATATAGTTATTTGTTGGCCTTGGATATGTGTTCTAATACATCATCTTCCTTTACGGATTAGGCATATTGACTCTTCCAGCCACCATCTCATTCTTGGCCTTCCAATATTTCTCATTTCTCTCAGCTTATAATTCAGGGCTTGCACTGGAAGTCTTTCTTGCGGCATATTTGCAATATGGATCCCCCGTTGCTGTCTGAACTTTTTAATTTTGTCGTGCACTGTTTCTTTTCGCCCTAATTCCTCTCTTATTTTCTCGCTTTTTATTTTTCTCACAGGTCTTTACTCCTTTCAAAAATCTCATTTCTGCCCATTCAATTCTCCTAACACCTTCTTGTTTTTGAACAAGTTTCAAATCCATACAGTAGAACTGGGAGGTCCATAAAATCATACAATGTTAACTGAGTTTCTTTTCGGGATTTCTTTTGAAAAGGTCTACTAATAGTTCCACATATTGCTTGAAATTTATGGATCTTGCTGATCATCTCTCTATCTATTTAATGTGTAATTTCATATCCTAGGTATTTAAAATTCGTCACTTGTTTTGAAACCGTATTTTGAAGCACAATATTTTTCCTTATTGATTTCTTTTCCTCTGAAAGCCATTACATTTGTTTTATTAACTAATACTATCAGATTGTATTCAATAAACATTTGATGGTAAATAAATCTTTGCAAATTATCTTCGTTTTCCTGCAGAATCATCTGTTCGTCGGCATATAAAATAGTACTTAAAGTGTATTTTGCGCAGGTGAATTCCTGAGGGCACCACGTTCTTCGACCTTTCAATTGTATATCCGAGATATATGTTAAAGAGTGTTGGCGAAAGACTGTCTCCCTGTCGTACTCCTTCATTTATCACCCACTTCCCGGAAACAAATCCATTGTCTTTTACTGCGATATTAGTATTATCATACATACTTTTCACCACCTGCACTGGATGTCTTGGGTATCCATCTGCTTTCATAATGCCCCATAATTTACATTTATTGTCATTATCAAAAGCCTTCTCAATATCCAGTGCAGATGGTGAAAAGTATGTATGATAACACTAATATTGCAATAAAATACAATGGATTTGTTTCCGGGAAGTGGGTGATAAATAAAGGAGTACGACAGGGAGACAGTCTTTCGCCAACATTCTTTAACATATATCTGGGATATACAATTAAAAGGTGGAAGAACGTGGTGCACTCAGGAATTCACCTGAGCAAAAATACATTTTTAATACACTTTTATATCCACGAAAGCTAAATGTGTTTCTGTATTAAGCTCCACTCGTTTCTCAATTACTTGTTTTAGTGTAAATATGTCATCATTGTTGGACAACCTTTTCTAAACCACTGTTATTTCTGGGATGGAGTGCAGTCTGCAATTGGAGCTATTCTGTTATTCACAATTTTAGCGAATAGCGTTAAGTAGATAAATACACCCATAGTTGTGACATTTACTTCGATCTTCTTTTTTAAAACTTAACAATTCATCCGGTATTACACATCTTTTCCATCATTCATTCTTGTGGTGGAGCAGTCGAAATTTCAGTATTACATACCTCCATATTGCATTATATCTACTTTAACCTAATCAGAACTACATGCTTTCCTATTCTTTGGGTGATTTTAATGCACTGTCAAGCTCTTTCATATCTAACATCTTTACATATCTTTTTATTCCTTTTTCTTCATCCGGCGTATACATTTCTTCAATCCCACTCCATAATTTCACAAAGTAGTCCAACCACTCTTTCCCGGAAATTGTATTCTAATACGTCTTATTACTAAACTGATCTACGGTTCGTAAAGTTCGACATAGGTAATCATATTGCATAAAGTTGTTTTTTTTACCCTCACTTCTGTGTGGATAGAATTACGTGACACGTATGACTCGGAAATCGTATTGTATGACCTGTAAATTGGCATACAACAAAACCATCGCCTTCCCGACTCCCTTAAAAATATTCTTGAAAACGCGTAGCCGTCTTTCTTAAATCTTTACTTCAAAAATAGAAAGCTGATTTTTTCACCTTATACAAAGGTTGGGGCTACTTTCTGTTCTTTTACAATCTGTTAATCGATTCTACATTTTTTAACAGTCAATTATTTAAACCTAGCTTTTTGATGTTTCACTTATTTTTTGTTTTTATTCCTTTTTAAGAGATTTTAATACCCACGTTTATGTGATCTTTAAGGTTTTAAAGAAATTTGTCACGGACGCAAATGAACGTACAAGTGCTTCATACCTTCAATGCGGAACCTAGTTTGAGTGTGTTAGCATTTCAATGCTGGGAGGTTGACAACCAAAGAGAATGGGAATTTCTGCAACACCTCTGTAGCAAAAAGCAATGAGTCGCTTTGATAGCCAACCGTCTCCACACGGCTCTCTGCTACTGGAGGGTAATCTCATGACGTGTATATGCGGAGACCGTGTATAAATGTGATATGAACGGGTCGACAGGCTGAAGAGATGAAGCACTTTGACGCAGGCGCAAATGGCCGCAGATGTGGAAGCGCCTTAATTCTTCATTGCGGAGCTTAGTTCGACTCTAAACATTGTAATGCACGGGATGTAACATATGAAAAGGAAAATAATTTATACGTCTCTGAGATAGCAGGAATGGAGCTAGCATTCCAATGGGGGTAGGCTGACACGGCAACCCTCCCCAAGGTATTCTGCCGCTGAAGGGAAATTCCATGACGTTTGAATACGGTTAGGGATGAAAGGATGTACCACTTTCAAAAGTTAAAACACTTTAATACGGGTGAAAATGAGCGTAGATGCAGAAGAATAAAGAAACATACACTTGATCACCAACATCTGCCCTAATTGTTCGCCTCTAGTAGATGGAATTTAGCGGCTGACTGTAGGCGAATTCGAGCTACCGACTGCACTGATCGGCAGTTGTCCGTGGTTTCTCCGATCAACTCCAGACGAACGTCGAAGTAATACCCCAAGAAACAGGCTGTAGACCGCGCGTTATCTTTTCTTCTTCTTCCTTGCCCTAACGTTACTTCTAACTTATACTTATGACCGTATAGTGTACTACCACTCATGTCGGGAGACCAATCAGGAGCTTGGAGCTTGTCCCGGACGGGGCGGCACCCCGCTGGTGGGAGACACCTCGGTGGGGAAACCCGCTAGTCGACGTGATGGTCGGCGCCGGATCTCGTCATCCAGCTTGGGAAGGTGACCGGCTCCTCCCGAGATAAAAACCGCTCACTTCACTTACGTGACTAATGACCTGAGGGGGGCGCGCGCGGAAACACTGTAAATCGATGAATCCGCCTCTATCAACATAAATCCTTTGCGCCGGCTGCCGCCCGCCCCTCCCCTCCCCCCTCCGCTCCCCGCTCCCCATCCCGCAGGCCGTGGTGGAGACGTGCAAGGGCAGCTTGCAGTCGCTGTCGCTCAAGTGCTGCAAGACGCTGTCGGGCGCGGCGCTGCGCGGCGTGGTGCGGCAGTGCTCGCTGCTGCGCCGCCTCAACGTGGCGTACGCCTCGCAGGTGTCCCCGCCTCGCAGCGCCGCCGCCGCCGCCGCCTTCTCCTACCTCGACGACGTGCCCTACCACCTGCCCAAGCTGGCCAAGCTCGTGGTGGACCTGGCGTACCGCAAGGGCCACTGCCTGGCCAACTTGCACGGCCGGATGCCGGACCTCGCCATCGCCGTCAGCCACTCCGAGTTCAGCAACGACGAGATCCTGCTGGCGTTCTAGCGCGCTTCGTGGGCTTGCAATAAAGATACCTCTGTATATAAAACTCAATGTATGTATATGTGTATATGTTACGACTACTAAATGAATCTGACGAGTTTTAGCGTTCCTTCAAAGTCTGTGGATAAAGTCGAGAGTAGTCAGAATATTGCAGTCGTCTTTGGATTTGAAATGGATGATATGCACGTTAGTCGATACGTGTTGGCTAAGGTAGGTGAACTACGCTACGGTGATGAGGATTCGCAGATAATGTGTGTTCAACAGGGAGGAGACTGCTGGTGGGGGATTTTTAAGGCTAGTGAGGCACAAAGTGTGCAGTTTCGAGTTCTATTGTGTGCCAGCAATTCCGTTAATTCTTAAATTTGTTCTTAAATTTTATTATTTTTTCGGTTAGCTAATAGTAGAACGGAAATATTATTTATGTATATTAAAAAACAGATAAACGTAGACCTAAACTGTAATTTTCTTTGAAAAATGTGAAGCCTGTTATTAAAAAACGCGTTTCAGCGCTACTGTAAATTCGAAATTTGAAGCTCTTTTTAACAGAACATTGTTGAGTTTTCGAAAAACTTCATTAAAAGACATTTGATGTACCTTAATTCACGCATACAATAGTGTTTACAAATTGCTACACGTGTGCATATTAAGGGCGTGAGTGATCTTTCAAAAAAATTACATTTGTGTAACTTTGGGGAAACAATACTCCGAAATAAACTTTACGTCGTATAAAACACCGTAAAGTTTTAAGAAAACAATTCGAACCGTTTTTTAGAAAATTGCGTTTGAGCGTTTTTAAAACTGCGGAGTTAGTTGAGCTAGTTTTCATAGAAAACGGTTGAGTTTTCGTGAAACTATATCTGACATTATTTAATCTCAATATTTATTTATGTACTCATAAATATAATTATGTGAACAAATTACCGCTAATATAAGTATTAACGTGAAACACAAGTAAAATAATTAAATTTTTGTATTATTTGAAAAAACAATAGAATAGAGCAATATGGCATTTACGTCATCTTATATAATGCATTTGCCACATCCCCTCTCGTTTTTTCATGAAGCATTCATAACTATGTATTACGTGTATTACTCTGTGTATGTGTGTGTATACGGTAAAGTAAAAATATATTAAAAGAATGTATTTTGCAATACCATTAAATTCAGAATTCAGAATATTTAGAAAATTATTGTTAAATTCTCCGAATCGTAAAAAATTCGCGAGTAAACATATCCTTGGCTACGTGTCTCGACTTCACGTGATCCCGTGCCCTGAACAACATTATATATATTGCGTACGTATTTTATATTTCGTTGAAACTCATAGTGTATGGTGCATACTAGTCTCCATTCAGTTCTCTAGATGCAGAACGATCGTTTAGCCGCTGCAGATTTTTTTAAGACCTGATCAGTGGAGTTTTGTGTGAAATTTTGAATATGCTTATATGGAGCAATTTTAAGCACTCTCATTTTTACTTTCTCGCCTTACGAATACTTTCTAAGAAGAGAAAGTAATATAATCGTTCGCCAGAAAACTGAATTCTCACAAGAAAAAATGTATTGCCGGGCTCTGGTGATGCTAAATCGAGTAAAAACGTGTTGCTAAATTGAGAAAAAATCCTCTAACACGTGGTGTAGCCAGATCCATGTTTTGTTGGTTCTTGACGCCGAAAAATCGTTTGACGGCAAAACGTCGGTCTGTCTGCCGTCTAGAAAACGCTAGCGGTTAAAGCGTTCAGCCAATTATCTCCAAATTTGATATTCTCTGATCGTGGTGAACGGACTGGAGGTTTGGGAGTTTCTAACGGATACTTTGATTGTTGCGTTTTTACATGAAATGGACTTATATCTTTTTATCGATCCATAGGGTGCATGTGTGGCGAAGTGGTATGAGTGCCGGGACGTTAACTATGAGGATCTGAGTTTGGGTCTCGGAGCGGAAAAAATGTTGCTGGTTGAAAACACTTTTGCTGGTTTATGTAGTATAATATTGCGGAACATTTAGAAACAATGCAAGAAAGTATGTAAGAAACAATGCGAGAAAGTAGCACCACTACTTTGTATTTTACCTATTTTCTATTTTTACTTAGATATTTTAATGAAGGGCATACATAAGTACTTATTTTGTTTTTTAGTACAAAAAATCCGTTCCACAGTGATAAAAAACGGGCAACCAACAGACCATCCAAGGCGCCATCACCGCTTTCACCTAATACTTTCAGTGGGCGAGAAAAATGTAACCCCAATATCGATTACACGCCGCTGATTATTGCAGCTGAAAATTAAACAATCCTAAGTGAATCTAGGCATTGTTGCCGTGCGAATTGGGAGCGGGAACCGGAGGAGAGGTTGGGTGTGTTCAATAAATCGATAATCGAACAACGCTCGGCTAATTGGCTAACCTATTCTATTGAAAATGTTGGGGGACCATCTGCTTACATGGACATTATGCTTTGACGGCTGACATTATGCTTTCTTGGACGTGTGAGTAGTGGTGACAAATTTTAACAAAACATCGATACTTCGATACGTCATCAAATCATGGTGGAAAGTGGTTTTCGATGTCGGAAAAAAAAGGTGTTTTAAATAAGATGAAACATTTGGAAGTAAAATATTTTGATTCTAATACGATACATAACATGTCAGTACTAGTTTAAAGTATATTCTGCCTTAAATTTGACTGTAATCTTAATTTTCTAATCAATGTTGTTTGCAGTCGAGATTCAAATTGCGGTTTAACGATATATTATGTGCATAAAATCAAAAATGAAACAACTCTGGAGGAAGTTTGCGAAAAGCAAACGGTTTCGTGCCGCCTGGGGATCTGCAACAATGTAGTTGTCAATAGCTCTTCATTGCAAGCAATGACATAAATATAATAGATACTGTAAATTTTATTTTGTATCATGAAAAGTTTTTGTCATGAGAGTTCTGAATATTCCGTTTTCCATACCCAAGGTATGCTTTCCCAGAAGTCAATACTGTACTTTTTCGAATGTGTTACTGTGTTTATTTCCCAATATTTTATTTCATCTAAGAGAAATGGGGAAAACATTATATATACTGTAAATATAACACTGGTTGAATCCAGTATCAAGAAGGGCTTCATACTTGTAAACATTTCGAATATCTTACTATTTATTTGGATTGAGAAATACCATCGCAAACTGTTTTGTCTGTGCTAGACGTATCAGAGATATGTCTCAGTTCCTACAAAAAAGTTTCATTTTTTAAATTATTTATTTTCCTTTTTTAATTTGTTGCGCCTATATTGATACAACGCGTATCTAAGCCTCTTGGGTGGATGGCCTTGAGCGCTTTGCACTTAGGAGTAATTGTCTATTAACATTACCTGTCGTATCAGTCATCTGTCAGGTCTCGTCGCAGTCAGTTGTCTAGAGGACCGCCAGGTAACATCACCGCATACGCGCCGCTTCTACCACGCGCTCCTGCGTCACTACCTAGCGATTAGAATGAATTGGGAAGGATATAGGATGGTGGTAGGGTTTAGGACGCTTCACAGCAGTTGGGCTACCCACTGTGAAGTAGGCAATCTCGTTTGTTGAAACAAATATAATAAGAGCTTGTCCGGAAATCGAACCCGAACCGCCGTGGTGAAAGGCGGGCGACTTGGCTTTGGGCCACGAATTAACGCGATGTTAATTCGCAGAAAGCCAGTGCGATAAACGTTGATGTGCTAAGAAACGAGTGACAGATATTGCTGTTTTGCCCCAACACCAAAAGTCGACAGACGAAAACTGAGTTCTCACAAGGATAATTGTTTTTTATCAGTCCGAACGAGACTGCAGTGGAAGAACTTGTTACGCACCCCACCCTGCGAGCCTTCAAAGTCTGGCGAACCAGTGTTCGAATCTTCGTGTGTATGTGTTCCTTTTCAAGATGGATCGCGAATGTCTTACTACAGAGGAAATATTGGCCGAATTAGAAATAAAATCTGACAAAGTCATTCTATCTCCCAAAGTGATAGTGAATGGACTTGCATGATTGGTTGGTGTACAAATATTGCATAAATATATGGCAAGAAGTGGTTCTGAGCGATATTTTCTAGGATTGTTGATATGACTGTCATTAACAGCTGGTTCCTTCACCAGAGAATAGAATAGAAGCCACTCACATTGTTGAACTTTCGAAGAGAGATTGCTGTATCTTGTCTAAAATCACTGACTGTATGTCAAACTACTGGTCGCTCGTTTTGTGTTCCACGAGACCAACTTCCCAAAACACAGCCAGACTTCAAATTTGACAGGAAAGACAATTTCATTGCAAAGAGGGAGAAACAAACAAGATGTCTGGGCCCAGGATGCAACTCAAAACTTTTGACGTACAGTGTGCAAAGTGCAATACAACACTTCGCTTAAAATGTTTTGGCCCATACCACAATAAGTAGAGTTAGGTTTAAATATAGATGCCGTACCTATTAGAAAAATATTTGAAAAAAACTTGTCTAATATTTTATCTTCTGTGTGCATTTTATTTTAGGCAACGTGAAACTGAATATATCTCTGAAGATTTCAGATAGCTTTTTACAAAAGTTAATATGATGCGGTATTTGATCATGAATGTCTCTTCTTTCAATATAATTACATAATCTCTAGAAAATAAATAAAAGAACATTTTAAAATAATTTTGATGTAAAAACTAATTTTTTACCAGTAAAACTTGAGATGCCTAATGATATCATTTTCCTCCGTACCGGTATATTTATAGGACAGCAAAAAATTATAATTTATTGTAGTAAATATGTTAAAAAATCATGAATTTTAATAAAATATCCAGTTGTTATGACATTGCATAAAAATAACCATTTTACCGTATAAAAAACTTAGTAAAAATGAGTATTTATAAACATACATATTTTGGATGTAAAAGCAATTTGTTGAGCCGTAACGTAGAATTTTGATTCGACAAATTCAAAAATATTGCGAATTGACATGGTTTCCTTTACAAATTGTTATCTTAATTTCTACACATGCAGTTCGAGC